AGTTGAATTGTATTGAATTCTAGATTTAGAAGACAATTCTGCATGCACACAACTCGAAAGGCATCGTGACATCGTAGTATATTTGGAGCAGCTACTTGACCCTGTCATGATGCCTTTTGAGTTGCAGAAGATAATGAGAGGTGAATGCGTTGTTTGAGATTTCATTATATTTGATCATCTGTTGGAAAATTTTTAAGCACAAGGATTAAACGATGAAATTATTGTAAGCCATTTATACAAAATAATTCTCGCTTTGTTAGTGACTTTCAAAAATGATACTTATTTCATCTTAGTAGTATTTGTCAACGTTGCATTTCTAACCCCATTTTTTTCTCACAAGTATTTCATCGAACATCTATGCTTCACCTGAGATGACTTGTATCTAACATTACACCTTGAATCGTTGATGGTCCCGATAGTCCCTTGGTCGGGTCTTCTCTCAATGGACCCTTATTCAAGTCAACACCTCCACACAATTCAAAGTTAGATTAGAATTTCTCATGCATCCCCGACTGAAAAGTTACGCTGAAAATGAGAAGAGAGAAGCAAAAAAGAAAATTTGATATCGAAAAGGAATTTAGGGTTTAGAATGAAATTTAGGATTGTATTGCAAGTTTTAAAAGTTAGGGGACCTAAATGCAAGTACCTGAAAAGTTTAATGACCATATTGCAAACGTATTAACGACAATGTAACGACGACAAACGGTCAAGGACCATATTGCAAACAGACTAAATGTTGGGAGACCATATTGCAAACGAACTAAATGTTGGGAGACTGTATTGCAAGTTTTAAAAGTTGGGTGACCTAAATAAAAGCTTTAGAAAAGTTTAGTGATCATTATTATACTTTACCCTAATTTTAAATCAAGTTTTGAGTGATTAACATTGCTTATGGTATGAAAAAACATTTTTGGATTGCTAGAAGTTGGTCCAATATCATCTAAGAAAATATATATTTAAAAAGTTAAGTGATGACATATACAATCTTAAAGCATTATGTCATCAAAATATAAAAAAAAAATATAAATCAATTAAGAAAATTATCAAATTTCATGATTAATTTAGACAAAAATAATTCAAAAAATACTATTAAGTTCAAAAATTAATTATTACATTGTTCCTTTTAAAATGGCCACCAAACACAAATAATTTACTGTATTCCTGTTAATTTGATCTTATATCTTAACTCGTTAACTATATATAGCTGGAGTGTTTGATTTATAGAATATAACATTATTTGTGACAATGGCATTATCAAAATGTAAGGTTATTATAGATACTACTAAGAATGTTATATTATATAATTTGATTTACATGATCGAAATTTAATATCATTGTATCTAATAAAAAAATTAGATTGCATTAAAATATTTTTTATTAAATTATGACTGTAATGCGTTTTTAATAAAATTAATTTTCAATATCAAATTAAAAATATTAATATAAAATTTTATAGAGTTATTTCAATTAGACTATCAATATATCAAGTTTACCGTTAATATTTTATTAAATTAATTACATATTAAACAATATTTTAAAAACTTATTTAGTATAATTTTAAAATATTTTCTAATGATAATCAATATTGATAAAAGTAAATTACATCAAGAATGCATACAAAAACTATATTTTAAAATATTAATATAGTATTCCTCTGACTAAATTCACTTTAAATCTCTTCAGGTACACTTAAATCAGATATCTACCAACTCGTTGGATCAACTTAGCGGTGTAAACGAGCTGAGTCAAGCTTGAGTATTGCTGAGCTCGACTCGACTTGAAAACTCTGAAATGGAGCTTGACTCGACTCAAAAACTCACGAGCTTAAAATTTTCAAGTTCGACTCGAACTCTAAATTCTGAACTGAAGCTCGTGAGCAGCTTGAAAAGGCTCGAAATGAAAAAAAATCTTAAACTTAACTCGATTGAAGCCTCAAACTCAAACCTGAACCTTAAATACATGAAAATCTTATTGTATTTTAAAAAAAAATCAATACATAAATATTAATATTAATATTAATATTATTAATAAATTATTTAAAAAAATAAAATCTTAATATATTATATTTTCGAGCTGTTCACGAGATTTTCGAGTCGAATATTAAATAGTTCGTTTCGGCTCGTTAAGAACTCGAGTCGAGCTCGACTCGAATCCATTCGATCCGAGTATTTATTGAACCTTGATCGAATCGATCTCGAGTAACTCACAATCTGTCTCGTGGCCTAGGTCAACTTTTCTATTCGTTTCGAGTTGGAAAACCTTAGAAGAGACAGCCTCCATACCTCTCACTGACTGTAAAACCACCAACTCCCAAAGAACAAATCAGACTTCAACTCAGTTGTAATCCATCCGTCTCTTTGTTGGATTTAATCTTAAAGGTTAAAGCTAAATTGAGCCAATTAAATTTCAAAAGTAAAGCTATATTATATCCTAATATTCCCTATGAATCATGCTAAATATTGCATTATGCAGGCAACGTTTGCACATTATGCCAGAACTTTCGCAGAAAAAACACCAAACTAAAGTATTTGTACAAGTAACCAAGAACAGCATATGTAAATAAATTGTCATAATCAATTAAGATTAAAGTAGAGGAGAGTTCAGTTTCAGTACAGTAAAAGCAACAATTGTATTAGTTGATTTTGAGATTCCCATTCCTAAATTAAGTAACTCGAACGCCTTGGTATCTTAGAATCTCCCCAATAAGCTCTCCTTTACCAGAACCTACGTACCTACCACATATCTCTCCATCTCTGATGAACAAAAACGTCGGTACCTCCACCACGTCCATGTCCTTGAGGAACTGCATGCATCTGTCGTTCTCATCACCGCTCATCCTGGCAAAGACCACAGAATCCATCTGCTTAGACAGCTTAACCACCGTCGGATACACCTTGACACAAGGCCCGCAATGTTTGAGCCCCACGTCCAGAACAATCAGCTTATGGTCAAGCTTGTGGTAGTCGATGAGCTTCTCCACGTCCTCCCTGGAGTGAAGCTGAGCAACACCCGAATGACTGTCGCCGTAGTACAACACATCGCCCATCAGCTAATCTGGCCCGATCCCTTCTTCTTCATGGATTTTCTCCATGCTCTTGTAGAAGCTAAAGTGAGGGACTTTCGTGATTTTCTCCCTTTGGCAAAGCTCCCTGGTCTTGTCCGATTCGTCGCCCATCACGAGGATGAATTCTACATCGTTGCAAGTCCTGCTAAGTTCCACCATAAATGGGTAAATCCTGCTGCTATGGTAACTGTAGCTGGTGGCGTATTCAACCACAACAAGCTTGTTTTTAGCCTTTTGGAGTGCTTCATCGAATTCCTCGATGCTGTGAACCTTCTGTACTCTCTCATCACTCGGAGCACTCTTTGTACCAGGAGCAGCAGTGGCCTTGGTAATGAAGCGAGGGATTGTGCTGGTTTCTAGTTTTGTTGAAAAGGGTCTTGGCCTAGTAACAAAGCATGACATGAAAGAGTCATGAGAGTGAAGAGAAGTTATACGTGGGCTGAAGTAAAGATCAGAAGGAGGTGGTTTAGTTAAGAAATTAGTGATTGCAGCCATTACGAAATGTGAGACAAAAGGCAAGTGAAAGAATTAACTCTGTTCTGGAGTTGCTTCAGGGGGCTCCTCCTCCAACAACAAATACGGATTAAAGATAAAAATCTAGTCCTTCAAAAATGGTAACCACTCGTTTTGGCTTATTCCGCTCATATTAACCACATACCTTCGCTCCTGTATTGTTATTGGGGACTTGGAAAGGTAGATTTTTGTACCATCACTCGGCTGGATTTTTCATTGTCGTTTTTGTTGGTGAAGAAAATATGCAGTGCTGTCAACTTGAGGTTATTATTAACACTTAAGAGTTGAGATAACTAAAGTCTCCTTCCCAAAAATCAATTGGGCTTATATGAAATGAGTATTTGGACCGTTACGGTATATGCACTTAAAAATGCAATATTAAAACATCTAAAAATAATTTTAGATGTAACGTGAGCACTTATTTTTACTAAATGATATTATCTAATTATCATTCTTCGGTTGAAGTTTAAAGAAATATAAAATATATACTATTTTCATCACAAGGCTGAAGTTTAAAGAAAGACTCCATCACAAATTTTTCCTCCGACAAGAGCTGGCAAGTGAATTGGTTATCCACAACTTGTCTGAGATTATCAACATTCTATACTATGTAAATTTATAGAGCGTTTTACAAATTATTTATGAAAGAAACATCAACATTTTTAAAAATAAATAAGAGAACATAAATATAATTTTATTCATTCAATCTCAATTTATTTACGCTTCGAAGTTTTTTAAATTTTAATGAAGTTGTCTTTACTATCCGATTATTGCACAATAAACGAAGGGCTTAGAGCATTTGATGAAATGGTTTTGTCGTTCTCTCAAGTTTAACGCTTGCACCTGATGTGGGACGCAATAAACACCCAATTCAATAATGGCCCAAATTCTGACTCAATAGGTCCATACTCATTGCTAATTTGAACTTGTAATTACATGTATCGTTTTGTTTCCTTCTTAAGGAATACAAACGAATGCAATTGGTTCAAGACTACATGTAAGCCTAATCCACTTGCCTTTTAGTCCAAGCTTCGAAACAAGTCTCTTGCAAGCTACGCAATCTTCCATTGTAGTCTTTAGCTTCACTTTTCGGCTGTGATAAATACTATATAGAGAAAGGAAAGAGAAGCGTGGCTAAAGCTATAAACCTGTGTATTGCTATTGCCTCCTTATTTCGGCTTCAACAAGAACAATCAGTCTACAGTAGGCCCATTTATCCACCTTACATCGAGTTTGTACCTATTTGTCTGCGATTTCTTCACGTGGGAAACAAGCTGTCAACCTGTGACTCAGCAATAACCACTACATATAGGCTATAGCGATATAAAATGGCAAAGTTTACACTTCACATAATCTTTAAATTAACGTCCTTTACCCTTCCCTTGTTTTCAAAGCGTTTTGCCTGTAGGTTGAGAGAGCTAGCTTTAGTTTTTTTTTCTCCTTCAGGTGTTTTTCTTCTTTATCTTTTAGTAAGAGAGAGAGAGATAACAATGGAGAAGCTGTCGGGGCTGAGCCACCTCTTCATGACAATCTTCCTCCACAACTTCGCCAACTTTATGGTGATTCCGGCCATCACAGATGTTACAATGGAGGCGCTTTGCCCTGGAAAAGATGAATGTTCCCTTGCCATTTTTATCTCCGGATTTCAGCAAGCGGTAATAAACTCATAATGTCATTTTTTTCTCAAGCTCTAATTCTCTTCCTTACACGTATATTAACACTTCAAACTTCTTCTTTGCAATCAACGGCTTTGTTCCTTGTCATCTAAAAGCAAAACTATTCAAGATGCATTGCTTTCCAGTTTACCCAGAAAAAAAAAGAACATGGTTGAAGGTTTTGGTCGATCTTAAGTGGAAAATTATCTGATTGTAATGCAGAATTCTAACAAGCTGTTATGTAAACCGTTAGGAAGCAGAATCTACGTCCTAGGATGATATCATATATGACAATCGCAAAAAGTTAACTCTGTTTCGTCTCACTCACTCAACGAAATTTCCTTTCAATTTCAACCTTCGAAGAGATGCCTTTGTTACTTTTGGCTCCTTCCCACCTAGTATACATGGACCAATGGCAAAACCTCCTTCATCATCGTACTTGGTTTCCACTCATTTCCCCTCCAGGGCTCTTGTACCTTTTCAGTTCAACATTATAACGTAGCCCTTTTATGTTCTGTGAACATTTGGGTAAATATAGTTAGGCTGTAATGAAATATTAGAAGTTGCTTAATCTCTAAACTTGGTATTCTTTGTGTTTTGATGTTAATAACTGTTACGCACATTTAACTCCCTTTTTCATCTATACTTTGAACATAAATTTTCTTTAATTCATAAGGCCTATCACTATGTTTTCTACAAGCAACGTGTCATTTTCATTCATCTTTTAACTGTTGCCTGAATGATAATTCAAGTAATTGGAAAATATTGACATTGATGAAAATTGCCACCTCCCCATACAAAAGAAAAACAAGGAAGAAGAAACATGGATGAAGAGCTCAATCAAATCTTTACCGAGCAAGAGCAAGAGCAGGCTCGTTTTTCGAGTCACGGCGTTCTAAGCCTGCCGCTTGGCTATCTGCGACTCTATGATTATTGTTTACAGCAGTGACATTGACATGCACTAATGCCCGCTTACGTTAATTGCGAAGTTTCCTTAGCCTGGGTTTCAGGGAAAACAATATTTTACGGCACTTTCAGTTATACGTGCGAGTTAACATAGAGGACCCACACCCAGTGTTTTGAAAATTGGACCGGACCTGCCGGTTCAACCGGGAACCGTTATTTTGTCCGGTCTATTCTACCCCGGTTGAACCGGTTTTAGTGAACCGCAATGAATCGTTTGAACTGGCTTTGAACCGCTCGAATCAGACCGGACCGTGAATCGGTTCAACCTAAATTTTTTTTGATTTTTTATTAAATCTTTTTAATATTTTTATTTAATATTTAAAATAATTATGACGTCGTCCGATTCTTACGATCGGTCAGACCAGTTTGACCGGTTGAACAGTAAACCGGTAGCACGACCGGTTGACTGCTCGGTCCGGTTCTAAAAACCATACCCGCACCTCAAATCTATGTTGGAATTGGATCTTCTGTCTTTTTATAAACCCGTGATGGCCAATAAATGGATTGTACTTTTTGTTTACGTTACTGTGATTACGAATACGTACCTAACCAGCTAACCTTACCTGTTTTTATTTTTGGGTTAACAGAAACAGTATTATGATTCATTAACATAAAGTAACATACGATCTATGCAGATTATTGGGCTTGGGTCCTTTTTGATGATGCCTTTCGTTGGAAATCTCTCGGATAAATATGGAAGGAAGGCTTTGCTTACACTACCCATCACTCTTACTATAATTCCATTAGGTCATTCCATTGCAAATACATACATGCATATATACATGTATATATACATTTGAGTTCCCTTTTTGTGTTGTGTATTTCTTAGTAAGAAAACCCGCCATGTTTTCTTTATGCAGCCATACTGGCGTACAGCAGAACCAAGAGTTTCTTTTATGCCTACTACGTATTCAAGATTCTCACCGCCATGTTTTGTGAAGGAAGCGTCCACTGTCTTGCTCTTGCTTATGTGGTAAACCTCTGTTCGTTAAATGGGGTATTGTCTAAGGTTGTCATCATGTACTGTGGGCTAGTTTTGTACTAGGATAAATGGGCTTGGATGTCCCTCGGAACCCTCTCTTGTCCGTTTTTCTCACGGTTGTTACACAAATGACCTCCATGATTCCTCTGCCACCTATGTTTTTAAGTGCCTGGAACTTGGGTTATTTTTCAGGCAGACAACGTTCCGGAAGGACGACGAGCTTCAGCTTTTGGGATTCTGTCTGGTATTGGATCGTGTGCCTTTGTCTGCGGGACTCTGTTTACCCGTTTTCTTTCGACTGCCTCCATTTTCCAGGTTTTTGCTTCTCCTTTTCTACTATTTCAAATATAAATTCTTTCCAATGTACCGAATTTGATTGTTTCATTTACCAGGTAGCGACAGCAATGGCGATGCTGTCAGCGGTTTACATGACGGTTTTCCTCACGGACTCCGTCATAAATGATAATCTTTCTACTCCAATTATCTCAAAAGAAAATTTTAATGGCATTGTTAATCAAGATGAGGAGTCAAACAAGAAAATACAGACGTTTAAAACCATGCCTTCCATAGAAGATATGCTTGCCTTGTTGAAGAACAGGTCTTTAAATTTTCCTTCATCTGATAAAAGTATTTTACTTGACCACAAGCTTATACTAAAATACTTCATGCTTTAATCGGTTGATTCTCCTTCGAGTGACTAATGTTCTAAATTGAACGTAAATGGTGTAACAGCTTGACATTTTCACAAGCGGCAATTGTTTCATTTTTTAGCAACCTTGCAGATGTTGGTCTCCATGCTTCATTACTGGTACATTTGCAATCCCATATGAACCACCAAAAGACCTTTGATTCTCCTAGAAAAATAAATACCCGTGGCCGTAATTTTGACTCAGTTAACTTTCCTGTGCAGTACTATCTAAAGGCCAGATTTCACTTCAACAAAGACCAGTTTGCCGACTTAATGGTTATAACTGGAGTTGCAGGGACTGTTTCCCAGGCACGACACATTTAGTGTCTCTAGTTATTTCTTTCTTCTTTTATTTACTTTTTTTTGTTGATACGACATTGAAACTTTCTTGCAGCTGCTTCTCATGCCCGTACTAGCTCCTGCTCTTGGAGAAGAGAGATTGCTGTCGATAGGGCTGTTTTTTAGCTGTGCACATGTAAGCTGCATGTTTCATTGATATTTCACATATTTTCGTTGACCATATGGTTATATATTGTGACACGATCTTGTGCATATGTAAACTGTAATTGTCATGGCTCGTGGTTTTTTATTTAATTGTCTATGGATTTGAATGCAGATGCTCTTCTATAGCATTGCATGGTCCTTGTGGGTAATAATCAAAACTCGATCACCATCCAAAATTTTTGTTTCCTTGAGTACTTAACATGAGCGACCTTTTTTTTTATTCAACTTGCTTAAAGTTATATCTTACAATGGCAGGTACCCTATGCAGCAGCTGTGCTTTCCTTATTCTATGTTTTTTCACAACCATGTGTACGTTTTTTCTTCATTTAATGTCCCCAGATCTTCATAACTTGTAGCATACTTTGTAACCAACGTTTATCTTACAATATGCAGATAAGGAGCATTGTGTCTAAACAAGTTGGGTCCTCTGAGCAGGTATTATTCGGGTAATAAGTTTTTTTTGTGTGTGTGTGTGTGTTTTGTTAAAACAGACTAGCTAATGTCTATTCCTTATATTCAGGGGAAGGCTCAAGGCTTTATTTCAGGCATAGGTTCCTTTGCCCAAGTTGCTTCTCCCTTGGTTTTCTCTCCTCTAACAGGTCAACCAAAACTTGACTCTGTTCATCGTTCGACTCATTCAAAATGTAAGACTGACATAGTTTATTCATTCTCCCAGCTTTGTTCCTTTCGGAAAGAGCACCGTTTTATTTCCCCGGTTTGAGTATCATGTGCGTCGGGTTTGCCTCGGTAAGAATATGACACATACAAGTCCCTTTGTTTTGAAGTTATAAAATGCAGCTCGGGGAGTACATTTAATCTGCAACTACTTCACAAGGGTACTGACGTACAGTAACTAACTGAAATTTTCTTTTTCTTAAGCAGATGATAGCTTTTGTCCAGAGTCTCATGATAAGAGCCGTTCCTCCTATATCAACCCAAAGAGCAGGCAACAGCAACTAAATCGAAGCCGAGCAAGGAATGTGTATTCAAAACCCTGAATCATTCCTCACTCGAATTCACATTGCCTGTGAAAATCTTCCAACAGGACGCATATATGTATTAGTAACTACTAGAAATGTTTAAGGAAGAACTTGGGAAGTTGGAATGGTTCTTCATAGCTTTGTAAGCAATAAAATCCATTTGACCACCGGTATATATATTATAGATATAGAGCTTAGAGCCTGCCCGGGGTGCAGCTGCGGAAGCCAGAAAAGGGTTCTTTTTGTTTTCTTTAGAGAGGCTCATTATGCATCTTATCGTTAGATTTGGGCATATGCCTTCAACTTTGTAATATGTTCGGTTTTAAATAAGAGAAAATAACCTCAGTAACCGAAAATGCCTTATAATATACGAATTTAACCAACTTTTTTTGGATTTGCCAAAATAACCAACAAATTCGCAACGCGCGAATATATAAATCGCAACACATAAATCAAATTCACAACGCGATAGTCAAATTTGCAACCCAAAGTCAAATTCGCAACGCGATAGTCAAATTCGCAACGCGAATTTGTAAATCGCAACACAGAAGTCAAATTCGCAACGCGATAGTCAAATTCGCAACACAAAAGTCAACGCGAATTTGTAAATCTCAACACATAAGTCAAATTCGCAACGCGAAAGTCAAATGTTTTTACGTGAAACACAATATTAATTTCGCAACACAAATGTAAACAGTATTATCACAAATCATCTCTAACCTAAAACCCTAAATCACAACTCAATCTCATCTCCATCTCTCACTCTCTATGGCGACATCCGTCCCCATCTCCGACGAAATCCGTCTATCTCCATCTCTCAGAGAAACCCTCACAACCATTCACTGTCAGAAATGGAAAATCAACCACCGAGGGTTAGTTTTTTGAATCTCTTATTTTTATTTTGAAATTTTTGTATTATTATTAGATTTTTCTTATATTGATGATAAATTTACTGGTAATTTCAATATATATAGATTAACCATTTCACTGAGATTGCTTAGTAAATTCATTCGGTTGCTACCAATACTGCTAAACTGTTTAGTCTTTAACCCTGTGAAGTTAGTATTTGTCTTTGTTTTGTCTCTTTATTTTGTCTTTTTGTTGAAGAAACCCTAAATCACAACACCAATTTTGCAACGCGATTTTAGTTTCGCGTTGTGAATTTAAGTTTTAGAAACTTCTTTTATTCTGCAAATTGAAACTTGAATGAATTGCATTACTTCAACCAAAAAACAAAGACAAATATCAACTTCACAGTGTTGCTAATTTAAGTTTCAAGAATAAACTATTACTCTTTATGTTGTCCTTGAACCTGCACTAAACCTATATGTTGTCCTTTTAAATGTTTATATAAGTGATTACTTCTGGAATGTTATCTGATGCATTTTGTGAACTATGATGGAATAATGACTTGGGTGAATACCGTGCTAGTTTGAAACATATTTGGCTTTGTTTTCACTGTTTAATATCATGTCTGTTTATAGTGTATAATTTGTAGTTTTTGGTATATCTAACTGTATGTTTATTATTTTTGTAGACATTTTTTTGACTGCATTGACCTTAAGGAATAAATTAAGCCTAGCCACTAAAATTGCGTCGACGCTTACACCTCTACAAAGAAAATTGTTTGAGGATACTTGCTTCGGGCCATGGCTGAAAGTGCAACATACAGGTGGAGATGCTATGTTGACACATTTGTTTCTTTAGACCATGACTAACGATCTACCCGAGGGGATACAACGTGGTGATGAGGAGATATGGTTTCATTTTCCTCCGGCACATACTTGTTTTGGGTGGGAGGAGTTTTGCTTAATCATTGGTCTACGCTTCAGACACGATGATGTAGGTCGGTACACTAGTCATATCGCCCGCCCATCATGGTTATCTCGGGTTTTTCCTGAGCTGGCAAAGTCGAAGCCGAGTTTACACGTCTACGACTTGAAGAGATTATTTGATAAAGATGGTTTTACTCGGATGGATGACCTTGATGTTGTCCGAGTATGCCATTTATCACTTTTGCATGGCGGCTTTTTAGGCAAAGAGGGCAGACAATCTATCTCCGAGGACCTAATATTATTGGTAGAGAACCTAAATGCATAGAACTTGTTTCTGTGGGGTTCATATCTATGGAAAACTACCTGGAAGAAGTTGTCGTCTGCCTTTGAGGATCGAAAAAGTTTACGGGGCGATGGTTCTAAATACACTTTGACAGGCTTTACTTGGGCCTTTAAGGTAAGAATTTCTATATAATATTTCTAAAATTATAATTAATTATTTAACAATTACTAATGTTTGTGTATTATATTGTTTGTAGATTTGGAAATTTGAGGCTTTCCCCAACATGCGGACATATACGATAAAAATATCAAATGATATTCCTAGGGCTATTACTTGAAAGAGGATCCGCATGTTGGATTGGGAAGAGTTACTCCCATATACGACGATGAATGATGTAAGTTAACACACAAATAATATCATATATAAACAAGTTATTACTAGTACAAGTTTAACTTTGTTTGAGTTTTTATATTGTTAGGAGGCCAACTATCCATTACAGAGGCTGAGCTTGCCACTGATTGGTGGCAAGCTAGTAAGCGATTTTTTATGGGACGGATGATGAACACCCCCACCTCGAGAGCCATCACCTGATCGGGCCTATTCTAGAGCTCGACACCCGGAGCCATCACCTGATCGAGCCTCTTCTCCACCTCTACCATCACCTATTCCATCACATCATCGAGCCTCTTCTCTACCATCACCTCATGATAGGCGACCGGCAAAGAGGCCACGACATTTATCTCCATGTTCTCCACCTCCACGGGATAAGTTAGGGGAATTACGTGATGAGGTCGGTGCTTTACGTCATGAGTTTGGTACTTTACGTGAAGATAATGGTGCATGGCGTGATGAGGTTTGATCTTTACCTGGTGAGGTGGATTTTTTATGCGATGAAAATGGTGCGCTACGCGATGAGGTATCTACTTTACGTGATGAGGTTGCCGCTCTACGCGAGATTGTTTTATTGTTGCAGAATGAGATTCATACTCTACGCAATGAGGTAAATTTGTTTAATACTATACTAAAAATGCAAATAACCTTTTTTCGGCATTATTTATTTATTTACTGATTTATGTATTAATTTATTTTCAGCGGCCCGATATGGTAGATGCTTTACGTCGGGTTTTTCTTGCACAACGGGGTTCACGCATCAGACGTCGTGCACGTGCCATTACGTCTCCGTTCACCCACTAGTGCCAAGACTCCGTAAGAATAAGTCCGATGCACCTATTATCATTCAAGAGGCATATCCTATCGTTCAAGAGGCCCCTCCCACCGTTCAAGAGGCCCCTGTCATCGTTCAAGAGGTCCCGCCCGCCGTTCAAGAGCCCGATTCACATGGCGTCATAAGTCGACATATTGATAAACCCCCTCCCATGCCCGATATGATGGATACGAGTTGGCTTTCGTATGTGTTACCGGCCAGTACCATTCCTCAGCAGGAGAGGGAAACACTACCGGACACAATTATGGATAATACCATTTGGGCTAAGACCGTAGTTGATTTTTATCTACATAAGCGGAGCAAGGGGTGTTATTCTGACCTATGTCAAATTGACGATGCTATTCAGTTGTTTCTTGATCGGTCTTGGTGGGGTATTTTATTAGGGGTTGAAGATAATGACTATCTCGAAGGGGTGGTAAGTATTATATTCTTCTTATATTGCATTTTGATTAATTTTTTTAAAATTATTAATAAATTCACTAATATATTTATTTTTTTATAAAACAGCATATTGATGCATGGGTGTCACGTCTTCTAATAATAAGGAAATTGAGGAAAAGAAATACTAGATGGACTATTATGCCGACGTCTTTTCACGCAGCTCACTTGAAGGATCAGAGAGATGCTTCATATACGTTGGGTAATGGAAAAGCTAAACTTTATCCTACGTGGTGGGAGGTCGATAAGGTTAGTATTTATTTTTTGAATATTTTAAAGGTTTTCATAATTTTATTTGATGTGCGCAATTATTTATGATTGCAGGTGTTTATCCCTGTTTTGGAACGTTGTCATTGGCTTCTCGTTGAGCTTCAATTCCCATCCCTGAAGATAATGGTATATGACAGCATGTTGAATTACATACCATTGTCTGATTTGAGAGATATTATTACAAAGGGGTGGAGCGATCATTTGGCTAAATACTTGGATGCGATTGATTATTAGACAAATTCTGGAAACAAGAAGCCAAAGAAGTTCAAAATTATAATGATCAGAGACGAGACTGCGCCACAACAAACGCAGGGAGCCAGAGGGGATTGTAGTCCTCTCGTATGCTTGTGCTTGGAACGTTTGACGACAGGAAGTAAAGAATATCTACCTCCCACATATAGAGATAGAGGTGCAGTAGGCTTGTGGTTTCGGCATTATATGGCCAGATCGATATATACGAGACGCTGCCTACCTGCATCTATGTGCTGAAAGTGTGCATAAACAATTGGTAAGTTTGAGCAAGTGTTGTTAACATATATACTCTTTAATTGGTTTGAAAATATTTGATTAAGTACCTAGAATTCAGTAATTTGATGTTTGTTGGTTTTAGATGTGTAGGAAGTGTTGTTTGAGCAAATGTTTGGTTTTTGCAGGTTAATCTTGAAGTGAGCTGCGTGAAATTGATGTATTTGTGCATAAACAACAGTTTTTTTTTTGCTTTGTTTAATTGAATTTTACATTGAAAGTTGATTTGTTTAATTGATGAGGAAATAAGATTTATTTTTTGATTACTTGATTTGTAAAAGTTGATTTATAAAAGTTGATTTGTTTAATTTGATGTGTAAATAAGAATTATTTTTTTGCTTTTTTAATTGATTTGTAAAAGTTGATTTGTTGTTTATAAAAAATTCAATCTGCATTATGTTTGAAGGCAAAAAAAACATGTTGAAAGTACAAATTCGCAACGCGAAATAAGCGTTGTGATAGTCAAATTCGTAACGCGAAAGTCAAATTCGCAACGCGGTTTTCAGTTTGTGAATTTGACTTTTGCGTTGCGAATTTGGCTATCGCAACGCTTATTTCGCGTTGCGAATTTGACTTTCGCGTTGATCGCAACATACAACATCAAGATATATACAACATCAAAAACATTCCAAGCTATAAATACAAGCTAAGGACACTTAAA